AATAACAGCCGGGCGGCTGACATTAAGCACTCCATAAATTTCGTATATCTAATTACAGCCCCATTAATTTCCACTAATATAAAATTAAAAACATAGATATAAACAAAAATAGCTGCATTACTAAGTTTTGAAGTCGAGTCTTTGCTGGACAAAGTCTCGGATTGGGGGCGACTAAATCTAGTCCAGTTTAATCCTCAGAAGACACAAGTTTGCGCGTTTACCGCTAAAAAGAACCCCTTTGTCGTATCTCCTCAGTTTCAAGGTACTCCCCTTGTTGCCTCAGCCAGTATCGGAATCCTCGGCGTCGACATATCGAGTAGCGTGCAGTTTCGTGGTCACTTGGAAGAGAAGGCCAAATTGGCCTCTAAAAAGCTTGGCGTGCTCAGCAGAGCGGGACAGTATTTCATGCCGGCTCAACGCCTGCAACTTTACAAGGCGCAGGTTCAGCCTCACATGGAATACTGTTCCCATCTCTGGGCTGGGGCTCCCCAGTGCCAGCTTCTTCCACTTGACCGCATCCAGCGCAGAGCGGCTCGAATCGTCGACGACCGAGTCCTTTCCGATCGGCTCGACTCATTGGCACTGCGAAGAGATGTTGCATCTCTTAGCATTTTCTTTCGCATTTACCATGGGGAGTGCTCTGAGGAATTGTTCGGATTAATCCCAGCCGCCAAATTTCACGAACGCACATCGCAGCAGAACTCTCGATACCATCCACACCATCTGGATGATTGGCGGTCCACCACTGTGCGATTTAGAAGATGTTTTCTTCCTCGCACAACTTCCTTGTCGAATAGTTTACCACCAGCGATTTTTCCGGACCGATACGACTTAGGGACCTTCAAGAAAAGAGCCTACTCCTTTTTAAAAGGCCGGCAACGCATCTGCAATTCCCCTGGTGTTGCGGTTGTTCATGGGCGGCGGTAGTCACTTACCATCAGGTGAGCCGCATGCTCGTTTGCCCCCTCTCCTATAAAAAAAAACATTCATACAAATCAAAAAGCCTAAAGATGAGCTAATGTAAAATATGCTTAATTGTATCGGGACCATAACTTGTCAAAAATTAGGAAAATGAGCGTATTTCGTTGTGTATGTGTTTTGATTTTTAATTTAACACTGTTAGGCTTAAAACTGTGAGGTAATATTTGAAATATACTTTCCTCTAGTTACAAAGAATTTTTTAGCCCACAATATTTGTAGTTAAGACTACTAGAAATCTTATTTACGAAGTAAAAAGGCGGAAAGGCTGGAATTAGGGGCGTGGCTTGTATTAGATTCATCCACCCTATCCGGGGTTTTTCGTGTCTCACAACTCGGGGAGATCCTCAAAATTTAAAATAAAATATTTTTCTGGCTGGGACACGTTTGGCGGGAGTGGCAACGGGCTGCATGAGCGCGTGGAAGCCGCCTCTTCAATATATTATCCTGCATCCGCCTCCATTGCTGTCTGAGCGTTGACTGACGTGTGATTGACGAAATGCCATTAAACGTTCAATCAAAATTCGTGACTGATAGTTGATTGACGTAAAAATCAAAATATCCAGATATTTGTCAATCAATTTCATGCAACCGTCAATCACCGCATTACACGGTAGGTTATTAGTCAATCACAACCGTGATTGTTATAAAACTGACAGCAAAACCTACCATGTAATGGGCGTCTTACAACCATTGCGGTTATATTTATCTGCTAAGGAGAAATAATTTACTTAATTCGTGTTTTTTTTTTAATATAAGGGTATAATGTTATGGTTTATACAATAATGTAGGTATAATAATTTTTTCGTCTATATTTATAAATTATTATAATATTAGTGCTGAAAGCGAAGTATAATAGATATTTACAATATTTTTTTTCTAGATACAGTTTTTCTCAGAAACTTTAAATTTAAAAATAATAGAAATAATGAAAATATTTTTAATGATGTGCTGGCAGTTGGCAAAATTCAATATCCCTTCTTGAATACCTAATAATATTAAATATGTTCATATCGATTTTATACCTAATAATATTTAGTACGTTCATATTAATTATATAATTTATAATGTTATAAATAATCATACAAATATAATTTTACGAAGTCACTTAAAGAGAAAAATTCTTAGTTCCGCTACGTAGATGACGATGCTTTGACGAGTTCTAGCAGTTTCTAAATGATGTTGAGATCAAATATACATTGTTCATTCATTCATTACGTTCTATCAAAGTCAACTACTGAACATAAGCCTATCCAACGGATAACCGCATAAGGGGGTATATTTCATAGTTACCACATTTGCCAGGCGGGTTTGCAAGCGCAGTTTTTTACTTTTGATACCCATCTCCTGGTTTCCATCTGCCGCCTTTTGCTACACCCACGGGATGGTTTCGACTAATGAATTTTCTTTCGCCTCCAATACACATTGTTATTAAATACTTATGTTATAAACCATATTATTACTAATTAGACATTTCGGAAAAATATTTAAAAAAATTGTTTCAAGCATAAAATGTCGTGATTAATTTCAAACTTGTAACTATTTGTAGGAGAAATGTATAATGCATTTTTCATGTGAAACTTTATTCGATAAAGAATATGTATGGCAGAAATTATTTTTTAAATAGATCCATATTTAAAAAGATTTAATAAACAATATAAAATTAATATAAAATAAGCGGCGTTTCGCGTGCTCCTCAAACTCAAACCCGTTACCCGCTCGTCATCGTAGGACTTTAGTATAGGAAAATCTCTAAAATTTACACGAACTTTGAGTGATCGCAAAAGTATCGTCCATTATATGCCAACTGACTTATTTGCGTTTTCCCATATTATCTTCCTGAAATGGATATTAAAATAAAGTACTATTTTATTGAGTACATTAATGTCTGATAATTCCAAAAAGCGATACATAATTAAAACTCACATAGCTAGTTACTCCTACTCATACTCTACTTACTCGAAGAATACAAATAATTTTAGCAGTCGTGTCCGACACCCGCGACCTACCCTTATGCCATGTCAAACAATAGATGTATCGACTCGACTCGTCAAAATCAGACTGCGAACGGACGTGCAGTCACATCGAAAATTGAGACATTTCCTCCTATATATAATGTACTCTGTGGTACTGAATTTTTTTCACGCGTGTTCTCTAATATAAAGCGCATTACGAAAAGCTAATATAAGTGGAAAACGGGGAACAATTTCTGCTAAAAAAATGAATGATATTTAGGCTTAGATTATTGCTTTTTGACTTGAATTAGTAAAAAAAATGAATGGTGAATGTATTATTTATACTTTTATCTCACGTTTTAATCAACAATATTTTCTAAAATAACAACGAAATACCCTAGAGATTTAAAATATAAAAGACCGTTTTAAGTGTTTTTACTATTGTTGACGTTTTTTTTTCTCGAAAATAAAGACTTTTTTTTAGAAATATCACGCGGTGAAAGTGAAGACTCATCTATTAACTAATTGAGATTTTTTTATGGTGTCTTTCAATAAAGTCAGTTTTTTAATATTTTCAAAACCGTATTTGCTTACTTTCGCGTTTCTTAAAGACCGGCCTCTTAAGTAAACAAACAATATAAACTATACAGGTCTTATAATATAAAGTAAATAGTATCGTATGACATAACATTAGTTTGGCTTCTAAGAAAGTAATTTATTAAATAAGCAATATAAAGTGTACATGACTTATAATATAAAGTAAATAATATCCTGTGACATTACATTAAAATTTTAAAATTTGTTGAAAAAAATCACCCAATTGACATTTAACAAATTTGGTTTTAGTAAATTTTTGAGCTTATCATTGCATTTAATACATTTTTAACGATGGTGCAATTACATTCAATCAAGATACAGTTTTTTTAGACTATATTATAAAAAGTACCCAATTCTAATCATTTGAAGATTGACGTCATAAAGTGAACGAATTTAACTATTTTTTATTTCTAAACTACATGGGTGCAATTTCAATAGTTAATAATTTAGAGATGTGCTATTTAAAATACGTCTCCCAGTTTTTTTTAATGTATAAACTGCAAATTCATAGGCTGGGGTGGGGGGGGGGCGTCTGTTTTTCTATGCATAGATAAATAAATATGTACCAAAATAATTAAATATGTATTGTTTATTATCTCTCTACGATATGTAGGTATTATTATATTACTATGTCTATGATTATTACTATGTTGTTTTTATTTAGAATTTTGGCTTGAATGCTTGTCCTTTAAGCCATGTCTTCATTTATCTCAGTATCAAGTGATAATAATCCTTTACATTACACTGCTTCACAGTATCTTGATGCGTCACTTTGCTTAGTTTTTGGGAGATTTTGACGGCAACGTGAGCCAGCAGATAGTTGGCAATAGTATCTCACTAATTAGTACCTTATGGTAACTAGTATCTCACTAGTTACCATAAAGTTTGATACTGTAGCGAAGCAATAATGTAATCAAAATATTAAACGGAGTTTAATTATAACACTATTTAGCACTTTCCATATTGAAAAAAAAATACGCATTTCGTTTTCCGTGATGCTGTATACACTAATAATATTCTCAAAATATTGTATCATGGACACTCTTTTAGAAAGAATTGCAACGCCTAACTCGGTGCCTTTCATTCATTTCAAGGTCACCGATTTAGGAACGTTTCTCTAATATGAAGTGCGCAATCCCTATATTTTACAACCTCCTTGGTATATGCTCCTTCATATAGTCCTAGTTCCTTTTTGGTTTTCTTTATGGTTATCTCTTATCATTGTCATTGGTTGGCTTAAACCATAGAGTGGAACCTGAAGTTGATTGGTTCATTGATTGTAAAAAAACGGAAGTCTAAACGTAGTGATTATATTCTCTTTGGTCAGAATTAGAATCTACCAGTTAGTCTGTGGTCAGAATCTGAAGGGTAAGAGGATTTTATGCAGAAAGAAAAAAATTCTTGTGTCGTTTTTTAATTGCAACTGTTGTAGTTCTAATTATCGTATTGTGAGTGTTGTAATATTAAGAAATGGAGTGGGTTGCAGTAAATGATATGTTATCTGAAAATATTACGAAGCTTAACTACACTCTTATTCCACCCGGTTTTCGCGGAGACGTACGAAGTGTGAGGTGAGCGAGACTTTTTACATTATCATGACATTTTATTCTTTATAAAATTCTCTAGCCACTATAGAATATAGAATGTTTTAGATATGATTAATCTTACTGAAGTAGAATACGGCACACCTACATACTCAAGGTTTCTGCAGGTCTAGGTTTATGTTCTCTTACGGTAATACAGTGGGTATTACCATATGCGAACTTAAGACTTGATTAAGTATTTTCAATGCTGAATCAAGGTTAAACTGCACATGAGATCATTGTCTGCATCTATCAATTTCTAACACATCACATAACTTATATTAAAAAAAAATAATAATACATACTTATTGATTGTTCAAATCAACATTTTTTTCTTCTTATTTTAGCACTAACAAAAATTTTGGTAAAACTATAGACATCCGGTACTCGCGTACGGGGGTGGGAGGGTGATGGGGATGGGAGAGGGGGATAGGGGAGGGTTCAGGAGAAGCCCAGGGTACCCTTCCCTTGTTGTGTAAATGTATAGTTTGTGAGTAATAATTTTTTTTGTGTAATCATAACCTTACTTTTTTACACAAGAATATTGATTCAAAGTTACTTCTGCAACAGCTTAGGCGCTGCGGGAATTGCAGCCCCTGCGCTCTTGTGTAGCAAATCACAGGCATCTATGCTCACCTCCGCAGCGGACGGGAGCAGCTCTCCCTCTGCACCGACAGCTTTACAAAAAAGCTATAAAGTCATCTATATATCTATATGTATATCTATAAAGTCAGGTTGCCCTAAACTCTGCTATGATAGTGGTAAATGAAACAATGTAATGTGAATTGTTATAAATTTTGTTTTCTGAAAAACCTCTGACTGCTCTCCACTGCTACTCAATTCATTTTGTATGAGTCCTATCTTCAGCCACAAATGGATTGTCTGGGCCCGAGTAATTAACTTTTTTTGGGTGACCAGTTTGGTTATATGCAATTTTTAGTTAGTGAAATTTATTTTTATTGTAATTAATCCAAAACACATTTCCATAATTCAAAAACAGTATAAATGGTTCTAGCTTAACCCTGACAAACCTAAACTGAAAATGTAATTGAAATCAAGTACTCGACGTTACTTCATAATCATCATCATCATCATTACAGCCCTTCACAAGTCCACTGCTGAACATAGGCCTCCCTCGAGAAATGCCACAAAACACGGTCCCGAGCTACCTGCATCCATCGACTTCCATCGGCCAGCAGTGAAGGACAATGTCTCAGTTCCATAGGTTATCACTTGGAACTTGCCTTGGTTTTCAAATTTTGAAGTACACCTGACAAGATTTCCCGATTTTTCTGCCACAATTTCCCGAAAGCTGCCCAGCTGAGTTGAATTAGTGGATTGAACTCTACTTCATAATACTAGACCAAATTAACATATTTGCGTTTCGTTATACGCAATTTTTAGTGAAATTTATTTTTATCATAATTAATTCAAAACTCATTTCCGACATCCAAAAATAGTGTAAAAGTTTTAAGCGTAGCCCTAACAAGCCTCCTAAACTGAAAATATAATTAAAATCAAGTACTGGATGTCTATAGCCAACCCAAAATTTTACTTATATTAACATTACCTAAAAAAAAGTGCCCAAACATTTTATGCAATAATCATTGATTTCATAAATCCAGTTATTGATTATTTAATATCTAAGTTGGTATATTTGTCTTTTTTTTGTTTAGGTTAATGCAGGATAGCCTCTCAAAGCTCATTGATGCACTTGGAGAACAATCTGCAACTGCACAAGGCCTAAATAAAGTTATCACAACAGCGGAAAAGCTTCGTAACGCACCCACCCACATTCTGTACCTCTTGAAAGATTCCAAGGCTAAAGGGTAAGATCACTATTTATTTTATAGATATTTATTAGAAAAATAATATTTTTATGTTTTCTTTTTAATGAAATGAATATTTTTTATGTACATATGTTCTAGGCTGCTTTGTGAGATTAGTTGACGGTAACCTACGTTATGTCATGTCTGTCTTGCGAAGGAGTGTAATATAAACATTAATATTAAATATAAGTTTAATGCACAGCAATTTTACTGTATAATATTTTAATCTATTTATACATAAACCCTAAAGCCCTCTATAAAATATAAATGAGACATAAAATTGATGAGGATAGGCAGCTAGCTACCTAGCTACCTTAATAATATAATATTGTACATACATATATATATATATATATATATATATATATATATATATATATATATATATATATATATATTATTAGGAGTGGAAAGATGTTTAACTAAATGTGAAGTGATGTTGTGTGATTTAAAATTAAACTAAGTACAGCAAATATTTTTTGAGTTGATACATTTTAATGCATTCAAAACAAAAATAAAGGAGTAAATTTATCCATCTTATATCATTATCATTTTTATTTTAGTCTTGACCCCCACACTAACATTTTCTTCTGTATTGCGGAGGCAATTTACAAATGTAAATTGCAAAAGAACAAACATCCAGACCCCCAACAATTATTTGTAGGCCATATAAATATTTGTAACAAGTATTTACATTACTGTATAACATCTTATTGAGCCCAAGTGCTTACTGTTTAAAATATTGTAATATATTAATAGAGCGCAATGGGATATGCTCTTCAATGTGACATCAAAACATGTATTTTTATTTGTGACCATACCTGTTTAGAAAATATGATAGAGATTGTTTAAAAAAAAAGAAATATCACATGAAGCATCAGAAGTGTAATGGTTAAAACAGTAGACGGGAGTGCTCTGAGGAATTGTTCGGACAAATTCCAGTCGCTCAATTTCGCCATCGCACTTGGTGATAAAACTCGCGATACCATCCATACCATCTGTGTGATTGGCGTTCCACCACTGTGCAATTTAGAAAAAGTTTTCTTTCTCGCACATTCCTTGTGGAATCATCTACCACCAGAGTATTTATTTTAGTATTTTTCTGGACCGAAACGACGTAGGGGTCTTCAAGAAAAGAGCCAACTCCTTTTAAAAAGGTCGGCAACGCATCTGCATTTCCCATGGTGTTGTAGTTGTTTATTGGCGGCGGTAGTCACTTACCATCAGGTGAGCCACATGCTCGTTTGCCCCCTCTGCTATAAAAAAGACTAGAAACTGGGAATGTTGTGGGTTCAAATTCACTATTCAAATACTGTTGTGAACCACTCCTTATACAACCATTGTAGGCTTACTTGATGGCAGTATTGGCAATGTTAATAGCATTACCAGTTTTTATTTTTTATCAATGTACTATAACCAAACAAACTCCTCAAAAGCATAGCAATCCTTTCGTGTCACTGACAATCTTGGGGAATGACTGCAACATGTCAAGAGGTTTGGATAATAACCTCCAGATAAACAGTAGCAGTGCCCTGCTGTTCCTTAATCCCTCTTGCACACCCTGCATGAGGACTGTCTGTAACACCTATTGGAAATGGTTGTTTATTTAAGGGACCGTGACCAATTATAGATCTTTTTCTTTTAACTAGGCCTATCTTTTTGTGTATGCTTTTTGGCTTCAAAATGCGGGTAAAGAAGATACATTTTGCATGATAGACTATGAATTAAATGGGAATTATACAAAAATTCAGTAAAACATAAAAAAATATAGATATTTTAGCAATCAATTTTTTATGAATCGATACATCAGCTTACGATTTGAATCGATATAAAAATCGACCTTTTTCGGAAAGAATCGATATTCCTACTGACGACAATGACATTACAAAATGGCGTCAGTTTTATGGTAGAATTAGATATAAACAATGCAAGAATAATTAATTTTCAATAACTTTTTTCTCAAAAATTACGCGTTTCCGCATGTTGTAACTTTGTGTGTGTGCTTTTCTGTAAAAATACGTATCAACCCCCAACTCGACAGGAGTCAATGGAAAGCTAAGCCACCCAGTATTTTATGTAAATTGAAGTTATCTTTTTAATACTCATAGGGCAGTTTTGAAGTAAACACAATGTTATATTGCATATTTAGTCGAGACCACCCTGCTGAGCGCTTTCTTTTATGCTTATAAGTTCAAAATAAATAAAGCAAGAAAGACATTCGTACATTTGAAGTAACGCAAAAACAAAGTCAAAATCATGCCGAACTTATTGCAAGAACACGCTCACGTATTTAAATACATCTAAAAACATTTGTAACCAAACATGGTTATGGGTGCGCATGTATGCCTCCAACCGTTAATTTTTACGGTCTGATAAAAAAAGAAGAAAGTTGTGAGGGTGAGTCCTTGTCAAGAAGTTAAGTATAGTTTCGGCATCACTTGAAATGTACCTAACTCTTCATCTATTTTTCTTTGTTGGCCTGAAGATTATAGGTAAAATAAAATCTGAACGCTATAATCATAATATATTTCAATACTGTGTCAATGTTAACACAGTATTTTTTTGGAAAAATTTGTAATAAAGGATAAAAGAAGGAAATCATTACCCTAATGAATTATAATTAATTATTGAAAATTGAAATGCAATACAATATGTTTATATCACCCACAACTGTAAGTCATAGCACATAGCACTCACGTTGTAGTGAAGCGAATGTAAATTATTTTATTTCTCCTTTAAAACAAGACCCCTCCAGACATGCGAAACGTTTGCGTCATAGAAACGTATGTGGATAAAGGCACATTGCAATGCGTCATAAGTGGTTAATTCAAATACGGGAGGGGTCAGCGCTGCAGTTAAGCCCCCTTTTTATTTTGTGTTTAGGTTTTCTTTTTAATATTTTATAGTTGTTACTAATTGTCAGCCAGTGTCATTATTAAACATGACGAATTAAGGATTTCACTTTTTTCATATATTTCTTGTGATATGTTACTTAATAACGTATCTCATATAAGGCGACTACGGAAAATGCTATAGGGATCTTATGACTTCCGACATATGGCGATATAATACAATCCCGTTTATGCCGGAGTAAAATACCCAGATCGATAACAGAGGGCAGCGTCAAAGTTGGTGAGAGATTGCGGTCGCTAATCAGCCAGCCAAGCGTGGTAACTATAGAACATTCTTCCTACAACCAGACACACATGCCCATCTGTGGTCTTCTTCTGAATGAGGAAGAAATAATTACTAAGCTAGATATATAATATTGTCTTACACAACTACTAAGGGTTTACTAAGTTGGTTTTAAAATAAAATACCATCTGTTTTTTGGTTATGTCTCACTTCCTCACATCATAGTTCTCAACTGAAGAGACTATAGTCTCCCAAATAGGGACAGCACAATATATTATGTTAACTAGTATATTATTATCTGCGAGGTAAATACCTTTATTTATGAACAGTAACTAAACTGTAGAATAAACCTGTGAAGTTTATTCTATAGTTATGAAGTTAACTGGCGAACATTAAGTGCATGAAGCGTAAGATCTTAACGACCGTATTAATCAGACAACGAATTGTAGATTGTGCAGTAGTGAAGAGCCAGTGCCGCGCCATATCGACTGTGTTTTTACTGTGATGTTCTTTCCAGCAATATAAGTAATTATTATGAGAAAGAAGTGTAAACAGGAATTAAATTACTTTTAAGTTACGACCCTTAATTTCATAATAATAATCATCATCATTACAGCCCTTCGCAAGTCCACTGCTGAACATAGGAATCCTCCAGGGACGCCACAAAGCACGGTCCTAAGCCTTTTACAGCCTTTATTAGTCCAGTCAAATAAGGTCAGAAATCAAAATTTTGGCACTCAACTTTGCATTTTTGATATAATGTGGTTTTAATGATATAAAAACAATGTGTAAAGGTTTAAAAAAAATTGTCAAACTGTTTTTACGCAATTCCTCGAAAACGGTAAAAATTAGACAAAAATGTTCTAATAAAAATATGTAGTGCTTAAAATTTTACGTAAAAAAGGTTTTATAAGACTTTCCTCCGGTCAAAATAAACCGTTTTAGGGAGGTTTTAAGTTTAAGGGGAAGTTATATTTTAAAAATCGTAGGTAGTAGAATATAAGCGATATTTTTTTAAATTGCCCCTTATTAAAATCTTTAATTTTAGGCATACAAATTATTTTTATTGTTAAAAACAATATAACAAATATGTATATAGAAAATGAAAAATATATAGTTTGTCTCACAGCGATAGTGAAAGATTAGCTTACAATATTGAAAAGTGCCAACGCCGAGAGCTAGAGTTTATAGCAAACTATCAAATTGGCAAACGCCACGGCTGAACTAACACAAGCGGGGCCGCTCTTACATTCTATTTTCTTTGTGTACAAAATCGTGAATACTTATATTTAGAATAAAATATTATGATTCGCTTATCGAATAATATTACCAGTCACTGTTTATTAATGTAGCATCGTATTATGTACGTGCCTGTTTAATAATACTACGTTTATACTTATCTTAGTTTTTTAACACACACAAATTAAAATACCAATTGGCTGGGTTAACCCTCTTTATATAATCAATTTTAAAAACTGTTTAATTAAATATATAAAATCGCGTGCACCATTTTATAAATCGTTTACAACTTTTCCAAAGTACACAAAAGCTAGGTACTGCTCGTGACGAAGTCGGAGTTTATTACTTAATTTATGCGTTGTACGGTTTCTAACTTTATAGGGTAGTTTCAGTCAAATTCAAAAAAGAGGAAGTTATAGATTTGACTGTTGCTTATGTTATTTAACTGATTAACTTTTTTTATTTAGTTACAGTCATCATCATCACTATTACAGGCCTCATCAGTACTAGTCCACTACAAAACGTAGGCCCTAGGATTGTCACATATCACTTCAATATCGACTTCCTGCATCTCTTACCAGTGCGTCAATCCAACTAGTGGCATCGCCCTACTTTTCTTACCGGTACGAAGCTCCGCCACTCTTCTTCCTCTTTCTTCGGTTGTCGGTTCTTCGATCTGCACGGCTGACTCATTGCCACTTCAGCTTATTTTGTTGCTGGACAATATCTGTTACTCTGGTTCTACTGCAGATGTATCTGTTTCTACTTTATTTCGAAATCGATCACGCACAGAAACAGAGCATAGCCCTTTCAATAGCTCGCTGAGCTGAGACTGACCTTGAGCTTTTTCATACGGCCAGCAGTCAAGGACCACGTCTCAGATCCATAAGTCCATCATTAGCAACGCGCACGTTGTTTCAAGTTTTGAGGTAGGCATACCGCATACGTGACGAAAAGATGTGTTGTAATCTCACGAACTCTGCCGATACGTGTTGAATCCGTCGATTGACCTTTCGGTTTATTAATACTATATTGATATATTGATAATACTTTCATAGTGATATCTATTTATGTAAATTTCAACCGATTACTACTGACTATTACTTTTTTTTTATAATCCAAACACATATTTATGCGATAATAGTTTAAATCTACTTTAATTTAAATATTTTTCCTATTCTTTGTTGATAAAAAAATTATATTATATTATTGTCAAATCAGTTCCAACTGTATCAGCTATTGTTGAGCGCGGATGCGTGTGAGAAACACGGAGGCAATCATAAAAGACAGTATCTGAAAATTGTTGCTACTGTGGTCGAACAGACAGTATAACTTTATGGAAGATCTATCTGTAATAAATGTCGTATTGTATATTAAGATATCTAGCGGAGACTTTGCTTACCAGCTCTATTTCTTTTAGTGGTAAGGGCGACGTTATTGGCATGCTGAAGATTGGCCGGAAGCACTTGTTCTTGTTCGATGAACGTGACAAAGTGTGCGAAGTTGAACCGCTGTGCGTGCTCGATTTCTTCGTGCTGCGCGATCGACAACGTCACGGGTACGGCAAGGTGCTCTTCGATCATATGCTGCAGGTGTGTGGATTTTATGAAATTACGGCTTCCTTAAAATAAATTAGATCAAATGTAAACAGCTCCCCAGTAGTTAGCAGCGGTAGTTACCATCATCCTTCTAATACTCTATGGTAAATGAACTTAGGACATGGAAACGTCAGCACACGAGCTGGCAATCGATGGACCGTCGCCGAAAATGGAACAGTTTTTGCTCAAGAACTACGGCATTGAGCGGCTCTTGAAGCAGAACAACAACTTTGCTGTGGCGCCTCAGTTCTTCGCCGGAGCTCCTGAGATTAAGTAAGTTGTTAGCCATAGCACTATTAGTAAGTTTTTGTTTAGTTTTATAATATGACATCTGAACAACCAACCCAAGAAGGCTATAGTTAAGATATTTGAGGACTAACATGAAAGAAATATAAATAGCGAACTTATATTATAACGCAACTAACACGAGAATGTCTAAATTACTAACTCTAGTAATAAAGTGTTGCTAATAAAGAATTAGCTCATATTTGGCAAAAGTTAGAAAACATATCATAGACTGAGTATAAAAATATTTTTAAAGGATTTAGTAAACAATTTTAATTAGATTTAAAATAATTTTAAAAAAGTAATTGAAACGAATATCATGAATAGGTATATATTTTTACAACAATTACTTGTATATTAGGGCGGCTATTATGGCAATTGAAAAAATAAACTAATAGTAATATTGGCGATAGGTAAATTAAAGTGCCAGTAAAACTTGAACAGTAATTAAAAACATATCGGTCGATTATTTAATCCTAAAGCGCCTGTACAAAAATATTCAAGCAGCCAGCACCAGCTTAATAAATGAATGTCCATTAACATGGTTGAATGAGCAGTAAGGTAAATAGAACGGCGGTTCTCGTCGTTCGGTCCTGTTAACTTTGTCAAAAATACGAAACCACATTGAGTTAATAATATCAGCCACAGTAGAGGAGCGGACATTTCTATTATTTATAATAGTAATAAATCTTTATTTCGGATAACAAATGAGATCCATATCAGAGATATTAGAAAAAACACAAAATAATAATAATAATACAGCTAGGATTAAATGACACGCACGCATGCCATACTCGGAACTATTTGTAATTGGTTGTCATACTGACTATCTGATTTGTCAACTGCCCCCCAAATGCTGCTCATTATTTTACTGCTCAATCGATTTTTATCATATATTTATTTAGTAACGTTACCCTCGTTTCAGTTTAATGCTTAGTTTTTACTGACCAAAAGCACGACATACAACAGCCACTTTAAACCACTGTTTTTTTTTTAATAATAAAGAACTAACTAATTTGTTAGCGGTTAACTAACGTTGCGTTAGCGTTGACACAAATTAGGGCTAAAATATAATGCCCCACAGACTAATTACGCCAGTTCACTTGCATTTCAAACTGGAACCCAGCTGTGAGTGCAGCAGAAATAGATAGGGGGGTGGTAACAACTTTGCTTGTTCTCGAGTCCTGACACTTTCCAAAAACACCCTTCTTGACCCCGACCATATGATAGCTATCCAAAACAATTTAGGTCTGGCTCTCGAGTGGCAGCCCCCAACTAGATGTAGTGACAACCTGATGCGGCAACTATTGATTGTGGCATTCCTGGGAGGCAAATTGTGCAGCTATATATTTGTGATAGCCTGTGATGATAATGATATGGTAACAATTCTAACGGATCCCAGGCAGGAAAGGAATTCCCAACGTCTAGTAAAAATCCAATTAGAAAAATTTGCCTAAATAACCGTCGATAACGCGGTGGAACAAACTCAAAATAACTTGAGGAAAAAAAGCAGGAAGGCAGAACAAACATTTACTGAATATATTTATAAATCCTATTGCGTGACACATTTTATCTACAATTTAACCCCGGATTAACCGGATATCATGAAACCTTAGAAAAAAAAACGGTACTGGCTTACTTAGAAGTCTAATATATATCTGTTAATAATACTCGATACTGTACTTTCAAACATATGAAATCTTTGTGGTTATTATAAATTAAAATGTTATATTCCAAGGTTTTATTGTTTTTCATTCAAGTATTTCGGTTCAAACAAGCTCAAGCTACTAAAAAATAGGCTGCCGACACTAACGGACTTTTGAGTACATTTTAATAGTTGTAATTTCAGGCCCCAACTTTATTTAAATACAATTTTGCTCACTACAGCAAAAAATAAAGTTGTTAAATCGATAGTGATCAGATAAATAATAGAAAAACGTAAACGGAATATTATAATAATTCATGTAATAATAATAATAATTTAATAATATTATTTAAATTGAGAATAATTCCCAAATGCAACTGTATTGCATTTGCTTGGTGAAGGTAATCATCAGAAGCGCGCTTGCATCACTGAGAAATATAAATAATTGCGCTTATAATGCTACCAGGTGACGTGGCAGATTTTCTCTATTTATTACCCTATCAGTAACGGTACGCGTATTTACCTGGTTTTTGTTGTGAGAGCATCAAACCACAAGCAATCTAGAGCGCGCGTTCTAACCAAAAGAGGTACATTCGATAAATCTATGCTGACTAAATCTAATAAATTACATAGACAACATTTTTTCTTTAACTGGAGAATAGAGAATTTATCATTGGTTGTTTCAACTTGTTCAGCAGTAAATCCGGGCGAAGCACTCCAGCGGTGACGCCTGCACTGGGACGTTTCGCCGCGCCTAAACCGCCTTCCGCTATTGCAACGGTGAGTATTTCAAATCCCAACATTCAAACTTATCAATAAATATGTTTTGACAAGGTAAGGTTAAACTGTCATTGAGACATAATTCTGCATACCATTGTAATGTACTGTTGCAAATTTGTGATATGTCAATAAATAATATTAAAATTTAAAAATAACTTAAAAAACACACATTGATAACTTGATGATTCTAGAGAGAACTATCCAGTGATCCTGATTAGGACACTAGGATAAAGTTACTAAATTATTGTATTGTTCGGTCCTTGATACGAGTGCAAATTTTCAAGTCAGTCGGCCGTCTACAAGTTGATGAAAATTACATTAAAAGATTCCATTACATACATACATACATACATACACGCAAAGCTAATAAAAACAGGTTTAAAAAACAACGCTTTGATGCTAAAATTTAGGAAACTTATGATCAGAATCAATCAATATTGTATTAAATGTTAGTCAAAATTCTCATGTATAATATTAAGGTGACAAACTGACTTACAGTCCACCTTTTTATGGTGTCTGCTTCAAAATAGGCTACAAATGCGTTGTCACCTCTTAAGACTAAAATGGAACGCCCTACAGCCGTTAATTAAACTGGCTCTAAACACTTCAAACCGGGATACAGGTTAAAGATGTTCAACTGAGTTCACTACGCCGATGTGTAAACTCACTTCTTCAAAAGAACCGAGAAATTCGAAAGGTTAGGGCGTTGAGTTGCCAACAGAATGCAGATGAGTGTTATTGAACACGAATCTTATTTTATATTATTTTTACAAACGGCAAATCCGTGAAATTTAAAAGGTAGTGATAGTGATAAATAATCTTTCTTTTCTACATTTATTTTATGTACTGGCCACAAGATTTTATTTTGACAGATTTGACAGCTGTATATGTAAAATTTAGTCAAAGTAATTACATATATAAAAATTTGTTGCGCCATAATGCAATGAGCGGGCGCAGTAGACTACACCTGAGTTACTGAGTTAACGCGAGGAATTTCGCCGAGTTACCCATGTCCAATATGACTGTAGGCACTGCTATTTGGCGACAGGAATATGACAGTGGTCCCAGACGGAATCTTAGGCAGAAGAGGAGGGCTACCACCTAGTTAATACACCCCTTAATTTTGCCAACTTATGGAAAATCTGTACAATCAGCAACCTTAGCATCAGTAGCCTGGGGTTGTGGTATCAAAAGTTTCTAGCGTGCATTGTCACCGTGGAACATTTGCCATGATTGCCATTCGGTTAGGTAGTCACAGTAAATGATGCTTCGAGCTGCTTTTCGCAGTCATCCGTCTGAGTGTTGTCTTCATCAACCCCTAAAAGTCAAATATCGATCATTGATCCAATGATAACGACGGTTGACTGACAAGGCTATCGCACCAGCAAGTCTCGCACATTTGACTCCGCCTCCATGTTGGTATTTTAACATATTACGAGTATTGTGCTGGATGCCTCGTTGGTCAAGTGATCGTCAAACGCGGTCCCAGATCATGAGCTCCCGGGTTCGAATCCCGGGTCGGGCCAAAATCAAATATTGGGTTTTTCTGTCAAGATATTCCCAGTAGCAGCCCGGAGCCAGGAGGTTGGCGATGTTTCACCCCTGTTTCTCGGAAAGCGCGTAAAGCCGTTGGTCCTGCGCCTGATCTCTCCCCAGTTGTATCGGATTTGTGTTGGCATTAGTGTCTGTTCAGACTGGGCGTCGTGACAGAAATTCGGTCTGGAGGACATTATTGCTGTACCGCCATTATTCGAACACCACAGGATTTTTCGGGAAATTCTCGTAGCCTCTACTTACGACAGACACCCTCACGATGATATGGATTCTCTAATATCACGAACACACGAAAGCAAGTGCTGGTGACTGGCTGGGTTACAATTTAGAGAGAGAGAGAGATTTGGCGGCGTAGTAGCGCAGTGGTTATGCATTTGACTGCGAATCTCGTGGTTCGATTTCTGCACGGAACAACTTTGCATTTTTCTTGTATAACGTACAAAAAAATATTGTTTTTACTGTGAGTGTCTGTTCTTGTGTAATTTATGTATGTAAATACCTCCACGATACATGAGAAATTTCTAGTGTATCGTTAATGTAAAGAAAACTACTATGTGCTGTAAGTCGTCCGAGAAATAAGTCGACTGTAGTAAACTAACCACCGAATAAGTCGTATATAGATCGTAATCAATAAGTCGCCTACTGAATGAGTCACCGAGCGAAACGTTGTAAACTGTACGTATAATGTGACCGCTCTACTTAGTTTAGGGCGCTAACCTGAGTCAAACAGTCGGACCAAAATATACACCACATAATACAAAATTACAAACCACTGTATGAACTCACATACTCACTCATCCTACCCGATAGAAAATAAGTTATTATACTCAAGAGAAATTTAGACGATATTTTAATATATAAAAAATATTTTTTCTTTGTTCGTATTTTATGCAACTGCCATACCGTTCATCAGAAGGCGGTAAAACTTTACTTATTGTTTGCACCTTTCTTGAAAGTAATATATCATTCAACTTCAATAAATGTATTATCATTCCTAATGAAACAATACTACTCTTCCAAATTTAAAACGATATTTCCACAATTATTTCTTCTGCGGCAGCAACGCGCTCGGGTACCAGCTAGTATTATATAATATATAAGATATGACAAGCGAATACTTACTTCGAGAACCCGAAAACCGATTACATATACACAAACATTCCAATAGTTACGCGCTAACTGCTGGCAGAATATTATATTCTAACCTTACAGGTGACAGCATAAGTAAAACGGGCTGCTTTCAGGTGTAATCGTTGATTTATTTTGTATCTACGCAAAGTTACAGACTGCAGGTTTCCCGAAAGTTTGAAGTCTGTAAACACTGTGTAAAATTTAAAACAAAAAGTTAATTTTAACTCTATAAAGAAACTGTACGAAGGCGACTGATAAGTCCGCGGCCCGAGCGGCCTGACTCATTGTCTCATGTTAGATCCAAATGCAACACGCCTTGGTAGTACTTTATAACCTTTTTTCGATAATAAGGTCGATAGTAAATTATCTGTCGAAGGACAAACGTCATCAAGTCAGCCGATTCGTATATTGAAATGATTGATTACCTGCCAAATGGGACTACTATGGATGATCAATATTTACTGGCTCAGGCACGAGAGCTGGTATCGACGCAGGTCCTGAAGGATACCACACGGGCTTCTCAGAAACTGACCACCCACCCACACAAAATGATTTTTTTTGCGATTTGAAAGCGTTATCCGCCAGATGTGAAAAATGTATTCCACTTAGTTTTACGTTTTAAATAATTATTATTAGTGTTGGATGTATATAGGGGCTGTTGGCCAATGTCCTCAAATTATAAATTTTTTAGAATTTTAAATATGTACTTAAACTACTAGACAAAAATTAAAAAAAAATGTTTTCAATATTTGTAATGATATCAACATTGTTCTATAAATGTAAAAATGTAATGAATACACATTTATTATTATTATCAAATATTTACTAAATTTGTTACTAAAATATTTTACTTTTATTATTTATTTTAGTTTTTTTTTTCATTTAGCCTATTTGCATTTCTTAGATTAGGAGATACAAGCTTAATTTAAAATTAGTCTCTAACAACTGTGGACCTTAAGTTAGAAATAAAGTAAAAATAAAAAAATATAAACATTAAATAAAAAAATATAATATAATGCTTCTGACGTGTGTATGTGACTGACTGTTTAATACCAAAGTTGGATAAAAAAAAATGAACTACTTTATACTTTTCTATGGATATTAGGTCTGAAATCGGCCAAATCAGCGGGAAAACAAATTATTTTTCTTTACATTAATCGAACGGACGAATCATTTAAAAAAATATCTAATTGAGTTTTTTACACAAAATCTACCCTCCGCGAGAAAAAAATTATAGTACAAAAAATTGAAATAAAAGTAACCAGGTATTATACCATTTTGAAATCTACATGAATTGCGTCAAGTTTTGAATACAGTTGCCAGGTCCATGTGGGTACATTTTTTTACAGATTGAAGGATACAACTTGCTCGATGAAACTTTACATACATACATAAACACTCACGCCTGTCACCCAGAGGGGTAGGCAGAGATTATGGACTTCCATTTGGCACGATCCTGACACACCTCTCTCGCTTCCTCCACATCCATATACCTACGCATACACGCTTTAATGTTATATTTTTACACTTTTACGAATTTTTATGTATTTATTTCTACCAAAGCGTAATAGGTACTAAAAAATAAAATAGTAGATATTGTAGACATATAATTAGGCTATACAAAACAGAAAAAAATATTTAAATCGGTCTTCATTTGCAGCTGCAGCATTAAAAATATTGACACAGTGATTTTCTGGAAAATATATAAATCATCCTTTATCTTATAAACCACGCAACTTGGGTATAGGACTTTTTTTTTTTTGGGTACAGTCCTTCCATGTTTTATAACCCCCTTTCATTTGATCGTTACGTTCTGGGACACTTTGTATATATTCGAAGACATATGAAGTTCGCCAACACGCATTGGGGCAGCGCGACAGACATTTCCTTGCCCTAAAAACCCTCTCAGAAATGAGGGGAGGCTTGTGCCCAGCAGTGGGAGGTATATTACAGGCTGTAATTTTAACTTGTATAATATCAATGTATTATAAGTTTATAAGTATAAACGTTCTTCTTGAATCATTCTGTCTATTGATGAAAACCGCATTAAAATCCGTTGCGTGGTGTTGGGGAAGCGACTTTATTTTATACTATGTAGAGATGCATGCCTAAAGTTACACTACAAGATTTTTACTGCATTACGATAAAACCAAAAAACACTCTTTACCAAACATCTGGCTTACATTTGTTACGAGTTAGAGAGATATTTCATCAAGATTAAATAAATATTTATTAAATAAGGAGTGGGTTCCCTGCTGTACTAAGCAGTTCGTGCGTTACATAAAATTCTATAAACCTTTTAAAATATTATTACAAACACTAAATATATACTCCTAGAATTACTCCACTAAGAATAAACCTTATACTTACTAATTTCTGAAATGTATGTTAAAGTGCTTCGAAATCCTTAACTATGCAAAAAATCATTCGTTAATACCAAACAGGATTTAACAAAGTTCTTATATTTATATTTGCTTTAGATTTTTTTTATTCATGGTAAGATTTTAAATAATTAACATGTTTTGATTTGGTTAAATAATTTTAATAAGGCGGAGATTGTTAATTCGACTAGGTATATACTTTTTGTGTGTAACGATTTGTTCTCAGAAGACTGTATAATGTCCGATGATAACATTAATAACTTAAAGCCAGTTTATAAGTTTTTATTTATGCTATTACGTAACCAAACTGTGGTAACATGATATCCATGTTCAGTTAGATGTCACAGATATTTTCCATAAAAAATATGTCATAACATTATCAATACTGTCATAATTGTTACTGGGTATTAATATAGTATTCCCATCTGGTTGGGCTGTACATAAATATACCTTAATTATTTGGGGTATCTATAAAGTTTTCTCATCTGGTTGGGCAGTATAAATATATAATTGTAAAAGAACATGGTAAACATACATAAATATCAATAATGTAAAATAAATGCATAAAAATTACATAAATATATAAAAACCCAACCAGATGGAAGTCCGCGGCAGGGGAGACCAAACAGCCGAGGGTTAGGGGGAAAGCTAAAGAAACCGGCGGTATCGAGGAGCACCGTCTTCTGCATTTGAGCTTGGAGCTGTCCGTTACGGAGTCCCAGTCGCCTCAGATGACCCGAGAGGCGGATTGGGATTAACCCGTTCGCAGAAACGACCACAGGAATAATTTCGGTCGGCAGACCACCACATGTCGGTCACCTCGTGAGCCAGGTCCAGATATTTTGTCAACTTATCTGTTTTAGCTTCGCGAGGTTCTCGTCATAAGGAATGGTAATGTCGACCAAAAATATCCTTGACTGTGCCCGGTCCATCAGCACAATATCAGGTTTATTTGCAAGAATAGTCCTGTCTGTGATGATGGACCGGTCCCAGTAGAGCCTGGCGCGGTCATTTTCGAGCACGGCTTCGGCAATTACTTATAATATGGCAGTTTCCGATCCACGAGACCGCATTTCAGAGCGAGCTCCTGGTGTAGAATCCTGGCTACTAGGTTGTGTCTGTGCAAATACTCAGAGTTAGAAACCGCCGAAAAACCGGATATGAAATGCCTAAGTGACTCACCAGGATGGCGACAAGCTCGACAGATGTCGACGGCGCCATCCTTTAGTATTATTATTTTTCATCCATATTGAGATTCTGAACGATTCTTATTTTAAGTGATAAACAATTCATGTTTAAAAAAGCATTTGGTTAAAAATATTATCTAAAGACAAATTTAATAATATGAAACTTCGCTAAATTGACTAATTTTAATTTTGAATACAAACTTTCTAAAATCACAGACCGACCATGTATATTTTAATTATTTGTTTGACGCAAGGAGAGCTAAGAATGAACAAACAGACTTTTTAGAAAAAACAGTCAGGTTCAACGCATACTTGCGTTTCTGCTATTAGCCCTCCTTTGTAATAATCTTAATTTTTATTAATCCAAATTCAGAAGTGGAAATCTGCATCCCAACGGTCGGCTCCGTGTCGCATTGGCTTAGCATTGAGTTGCTACGCTGGGTGCCGCGGGTTCGAATCCGCACGGAATATGGTTTAAGACGTTTATTTCACAAAAAGAATACAATTCACTTATCATGAACAATAACAAGTTAATCTTAGATACTAAATAGATGAATTTATGAAGAACGGCAGGTACTTGTAAATGATAATTTACCTGGATGTGCACAATCTTCATCATACATAACACATATCGTTATTGAAAGCAAGTTTATAGCAATTAGTTTATAAATATAAAATTGAGTTTATAGCATACTAATATTTATGTAAATTAACGGTGGGGAAATGGCGCTGACAGCTTGATGCACAGGCCTCCTAGATCGGCTGCAGATGCTGTTTCAAATATATGTACCGAATTAGCTTTATTAAGTGTTAAGCAAATATCTGGTTGTACTACCTTTTGAAAATAAAGAACTTATTATTATTAAATAAAAAAAATATATCTTATTAATTAGGGCCATATTACAAGCAATTTATAATTAAGTTAAAATTTTATATTAAATGTTAACAAATGTTATATGTAATATTTTAATTGAATATATTTCATACCTATATATTTCTATTAGTAAAAAGTTTAATGTGGTAAAATCAAATTAATTAAAGAAATTACATTCGCTTTATAAATGAGTTAATATTGGTTTATTGAATAAATATTTGTATGGCGTACGAGGAACTGTTCCGGGTCTGGATGTTTGTCTTTACGCCATTTTCATTAATTGAGGGGATAACGTTTTTTTTTAAGGATAAAGACTTCGGCAGTACGATAAATAAAAATGCGTGTCTACTTATTTCAACAATTGTACACTCTAGAACGCTTTGAATCTTAGTCATTTTGAATGATTATAGGTACATCTGTTTCTCGATGTTCATGATTTTCAAATTTTTCTGGACGGTTTAAAAAAAATGGAAGAGGGCATTGGTTGCAACAAAATACATTTCATTCATAAAACACGATTTAATTTTGCTCAGTTTGCCACAGTGATAAACAACTAAGCTTATAAATGTATTGTTATATGCCTGGTTTTGGAGGTCAACAATACTGTTATGGTCTGGTAACTCCAGGTATTTTTCATAAAGACGACAAATCTATATTATTGCTATTACATTGCAGGTAATTCACGGCGGTGGCTCGTACTACGAGCACGAAACACGCAATGGGTAATTATACATTATTTACTAGAAAATCACGTAAAATTTACGATGTTTAACTCGACACTCGGTGCTTCTTTTATTTGTATCAACTATCTTATTTGGTTTATACTATTTTTTATATTTTTTTTCTTACGTTCCTTTGGTTGCATTTCAGTTATAGCCGCTGCAGAGCAATGAACTCGCACTGACGCGACGTCGTGTCGTTTCCAACATCACGCGGTCCATTTTATATAATTTATTTGCGTTTTGTATTATTTTGCACTCGGTTGTCACAGTTTCAGTTTTCTATGCAGATGTTATATAAAGAGCTGTTGGTCATGATTTTATTCCTATCTTTATAGAATTAATAATCAAAATCCATTTTTAATGATGAAAACCAAAATATAAATATGTTATTTTTCATAATTATTCCAGCTGTAAGCCTTTCATGCTAAACAAAAGATTACTTCGTTGTATATTATTAAACTATACACCGGTATTACTTTTCATAAATAGAAAGTCAGTCATTTGTTAGCACGACCATTAAAATTTTGTCTATTAGTTTTACTAGTGAGCTTTCTATAACATCTTTATTTATTATGATTACACAACTTGTTAACCTTTTGATAAACTAGGCTTGATCAAGCGACTTAAAGCGCACGAATAATTTTGTATTAGCTACTTGGAAAATATTTGTAGTTGAAAACGGACTTAGAATAGTTATAAGGACTTACATTAAAATATCTTCATGAATACCAAGTACGCTTAGCTTGTTAACAATACATTCACATTTTTTTTAAATATATTATATTATTTATAGGATAAATTATTAATATATAATTTATCAATAGGTTAGCTAAAAATAAAAGAATGTTCCATACTGACATTGTTGCGAATGACAATTTTTAAAACTATTTAAAAAAGGAGGAAGTTCTTTGTTTAACTGTTTTTTTTTTATTAAATACTCAATACCTTGAGGGGGTTCATAATCTCATTTACATTGAAGCAAATCTTTCACCTCCAAAACGAGGTAGAAATATATGGAATTAAGTTTTTAATATAACTATATAGATGACATTCTAGTTGTCATCATGAGCTTGTGTTATTGTTTAGTCCAAGCAAAAAGATAAAGTAATTAAACTTAAAAAATCTGACTTCAAAAAACCAAAAACAATAAAATTATTTAGAATTCCGGTAGTCTTCTGAAGTCGGAGTTTCAATTCGATACATTTTCTATTGGCTCTGATTTTAAAAGCTTAATTAAATTTAATTATGACTTGTGTTTTTCAAAATCTAATTTTGTTAAAATTTTAAATATAATTCTTTATCAAATTTAAAAATAATAATATTGACGTGATGAGATTTCTTACTTGCCACAAAAATTTATCAATATTTATTTTGTTTAATTTCCTGATAAAATTTAATGCCTTCGATAAATATTTGCTATATGAAAATTTTACTTTGCCTGTGTTAATGCTATTTGGTATACTTAAAAATAATTGTAGAGATATTTTTTGTATTAAAACTATTACTTATTTATTATAACGGTATACTCAATTTATAAAGGAAAAACGACTCGTATTAAACTAATTACAAGTTTATTTTAACGGTATGCTATATTGCAACAACGTCAGATGAAGTATTCTTTGTATAATCAGAAAACAATTTGGACCAAAAGCCTTTATATTGTTAGTTCTAGTGGGGCTTTGTAGCTGCCCATGTTTTAAATTGTAACGGTCACTAAATTTATAAATAAATTACCAAAAAATATGAAAGTTCACTAAATTTATAAATAAATTACCAAAAAATTCTTCTATTCGAGTTTTCCTCTTGACTTTTTAGTTTTATTCAAGAAATTCATTAAAAATCGCTCCAATTAAATAAGCTAAAGCCACCACGGAAGGAAAAGGAAAATACTTTTTAGTGGGTTATGAAATTATTTGTGGTCTGCGATGATAATTCATTGAACATCTTTTGTTTGCCTTTCAGTTCGACGATTTTTTACGGTTAAAACCGACTCCAAAAAGGAGGAAGTTCTCAATATTAGAGTGTATGTTTTTTGTATGTATGTCATGCGATATTTTCACAGATTGTGGACCAATTTTGATAATTCTTTTTTTATTAAATAGGTTATACTTCAAACGTGGAGTAAAATTGGAGAATTTGGAGAAAAATTCCACCTCTAAGGGTAGCAAATAAATAACTTCTTTTTTAGCAACTTGAAGTCGGTTGTTACTTTTGTTAAAAGTTTTAATCATAACGTCTTAATAAGCTCTGTTTGTTAAACCAGGGTTAGGTTACGGGCGTGAGTTGCTGTAAATGTATATGTACAGCAATCCATTTCAATAATTTCTAATTTTAATAATTGGTTCTTATATATACATACATATAATCCCGCCTCTTTCCCGTAGGGGTAGGCAGAGACCACTTCTTTCCACTTGCTACGATCTCTACATACTTATTTCGCTTCGTCCACTTTCATTATTCCCTTCATACATGCTCTTCGGTTTAGGGTACTCTTGGCCTGGCCTTTTTTCAAGACGTCCCTGATTTGGTCTAGAAACATCCGCCTAGGTCTACCCCTTTCTTCTTCTTTTCTCGTCAATCGTTCTTCATTCATTTTGTAGCCACGTACATTTAAATCGCAAGAAGTTTTAGGTGTTCCAACAAATTAACGATGATACCACACTGCAGCAACAACCACTTTGCAATGATTTATGTCTTTCATAATTTGTATTTATTTAGCCTCCTCAAGACTAGATCTGGCGCTCAGCTTATTCAGCCCTTGTATATAATAATTTAGCCGCTAGCCCAAAATCTAAAAAAGTTATATACATATATCCTGCGAAAAAAATTTGTATAACTAAATTTAATATTAGCAGTACGAATTTGCCTCACAAAATTTCCTTTCCCCAAATACGGCATCGATTTTTTTGAATTGATCCTAAATTTATATTGAAAAGGCCGCGCGCAGTGATAGTGATGTCTGACCATAAAATGTCGTCAGCATAGAATGAAAGTCTTCGCGACGACTCCTACTCATCTCATTTGAGGGCTTCGGCATTATAATTAGCATTTGTGGCGGCGCTACTACCCTATATCATCCCGTGAGTGTCGAGGTGTATGGGGCCACAGAGGAAAATCAAACGGAAATTCTTCGATTTTTTATTAAAGTAATTTTTAAATATCTTATATTTTGTAAACTACTTCGGCTTCATCCACTAATTTTGATAATATTTACAATAAACGCTACAATTTAACAGACATATAAATTCTGTTACATCAACTCTAAATATGTAATTTTGTAATTAATTTATTTTTAATATTTAGTGACCGCTACAATGCACATAATTCCTTCGCGTCGGATGTATATTTTTTCTTAATTTTGTAAATAGTTGTCTGCAAGTATTTCGGCGACGGATGTTTTTTTTTTGCTTTTGCTGTATCTGTAATTAAAAAAAAGCTGGTAATAGTAACAGCTTAAGCAAAATCACTTTGAGTGTGATTATTAAAAAGATCCGTCGCTCCACCGACATTAATTGTAATTTATAGCTATTATTATTTAAAAAGACACAAAAATATATTGTTGTAACGATGCACTGTGATAATATTTTGTTCGGCTTAATTTTTTCTTTTTATTTGATTTTTATATACATACATTGCATTATTTTTAGTGTTTAATTAAATAAGCTATATTTGCCAAATAAAATACGTTTTTCTATTTTAACATATTTTTTTCGCTTTTTCTTTATCTTTTCAAATTCATTATAATGACTTTTTAAAGCAAGCAGCTTGAGAACTTTTTATAGCTTTCGAAATAAATGTGATTATAATTCAAATAAAATTCATAACTCGCAAATTTACTTTTTTAATAAAAATTACATTATTTAGATTAAATACTTAAGTAATTTTAGGTTTGATTTGGTACACATTAATATAAAGCTTAGACTATACTTAAAACAATTCCAAAAAGAAATATAATGTATAATAAATATAGGCATATTGAAGTGCAGAAACTGATGATTCAACGCAATTCGTAATATTGCGTTTGCGAACCCGCCTGTCTAGCGTGACAACTATGACAAATATCCCCCAATGGGGCTATCTTTGGGGAGACCCAAGTTTAGCAGGGTCTTTTCATAGGCTGTAGTTAATGTATTAAAGGCGTAAGGGAATAAAACGGCGCCTTGTGCTGAACTATTTTGTTTGGGGCGTCACCAAAATAATAAAAAGAGGACTCCATGTTGACACTTTATATTATAACTTCTAAAGCAGTGAGTCGAGACCGACCACCCCCGAGCCTGATAGTGCTCAGACCCAAGACGCACCAGCACCGGAGTCAACGCCTCAAGCCGAAACGACTGAGCCGCCGATTCAGTCAGAACATAAGCAAGAAATGGAGCCTCAACTAGAGTCCAACAAGAGCCCTGAGCGTCCTTCTACGTTAAGCGTGGAACCAATTACGGAAACTCCGGCCACTGTAATATCTCCGGCTGGCTCAACTATCTCTCGCCGCGACTCCCAGTTAACCGACCGCGGCTTTTTCGATGTAAAATTCTATCACAATAAACTTTGGTAAATCCCTCTCCGCAAGGTCGTAGCGTAGCGAGAACAAGGAGCGTGGGACTTAGATACTGAATATTGTCAAAGCTGAAACATGAAACTCTTATTTAGCTACGCCTTTTAACACTTCTATTTAAAGCTGTAACAGTTTTACTTGGACCACATTCTCGCGCGAATATATATATATATATATATATATATGTAATGTTTTCGATTTACGTCATAACGACCTTAGCGAAAATATTTAATGCATTTCACTGTAATTGCCTGTGAACGTAGGTAAAGGAATAATAAATGCTTTATTGCTTTGCCTAGGGGCGATAACAATGTAGTTGCGTGTTAAAAATCATTTTGTTAGGGCTGTCACATTCTGAAAATGCATATTGAGTATAATATTAGTGTATGTTAAAATCATGTGATTCACAATAAGCCAATATGTACCAGTAGGCATTTATTATGAAATTTAATAAAAATTGATATGAATTAATTGTGATAATTGATGTTGATCGTTAAGATTTTGCGTAAACATTACGATTACGTTGACAATCCTTTTTGTTTTTCAAATTAAAACTAAAGTTCTATGCCAAACTAACACTTTAACTAACATAAGGATTTGCTTTAATAATTGTATTGTATAATAAATACATCAGTAAAATAAACGTAAAATTATACTTAACAATTTCGACATAATATTTATACCACTTCTGGAATGAAATACGCGCCATTCATACATTGTGTGTGTGCGTATATATATGAGGTATTTTACGAAAATTTTGGAATATTTAATGTATGGTAGTATGTTATAATGTTTCTGTGTAACATACATCCCTATTCACATGTTTATGTTTTATCGTTGCGTTGTTCGGATGTTGAAAAATATACACGTAATACCTTTTATTGCTTGCTTTGGTTAAAGGCTAAAAGTTAGAATTAGCTTTTTTACAATTTAGTAATTAATTGACGTATAAATTCGATCATAGAATAATATAAATATTTCTCTTGTAATAAATGCACCTCATAGCTTTATATGTCATTTCTCTTTTAGAAAAATAACTAGTAGTGTATATGGAAATGCTTAGCTTTACATTTGTATTGAGATCCAGCACTAACACTTAACACTGCCAGAATAAAATGTCCTCAAGAAGGAATTTAGGTCGCGGCAACCAATCTCAATGGAGCGTAGGACAGAATCATAGAGCACGAGTGTGTGCGCTAGCACAGGTGCACTATGTTCCCTCACTCTCATGGTCCGATAGGATGGCTACCCGATAACACCGGATGACCGGAGGGAAAGCACGCTGGGGTTAAACACCGCTAGTGTCCTGACGCCGCGCCGGGCTGCTACTGAGAACTTTTAATAAAAAAAAAACACTGCCACAATACATCTTATGCGAAAAAAACATATTGCAATATATATTGCATGCGGCGCGAGATAGTAATTTAAGAAATATGATTTAACATTTGTAAAATATGTATTGACGTCGATTTTAAATAATAATAGGATTGGGCATGGACATTCATTGTATTTTACATGCGGTTCTTAGTTGAAAACTTTAGCATCTAAAGATTTAAAATCAATATTAAAATTGTACACGGCACCGCTAGATTTTCAATTCCACTTCAATCGATGTTGCAATATTTCTCATACCATAAAACTCAAAAACAATAAATCTTTGGGATCCAAATTATATATTAAAAAAATTTATAGTGTAGTAGTGCCTTCAATATTACACTACATTCAATGGCTATTTAATGCTTAAAGTTCAAGTGCTTAAAGTCTATTATAATAGCAGTTTGTTAACAACTGGTGTTGATGCACGCTTACAAACATAATTTATATAGGAACGCGGATCTCGGTAATTCTGTTATTTTGGAAAGGCCTAATGCAATTTTTAACTAACTAGAAATAAGGATTTATGATAACACTAATAAAAAACCTCAAACTTCTAGCGTTCTACATTACGGCGTTAAGTGTTCCTTTAAAAATAAAAATATAACCTTCCTTCGTCACAGAGTATGTGAGTATTGAAGATGATCATTGATTAATGAATAAATGACTGTTATAATCCTTATCCTATAAAAAAGGAATAAGGCTAGAATTACGTTAGGCCCACTCACTCATAAACCACATATTATTGGAGGGTTTCGAAATTAATATAAAATTATATCTTATTACATTATACTTGTCATTGTTTATATAGCAAATATTCTACAACATGATCGTATTTAATCTTAAGTGGTCATTATACAAATTCAATCCTCTACGTGTAGGATATATGCGTCTAAAATATAGTTCTAGACCTCATACACTGTTACTTAACTAAGTTCAACACAGGTGCAAAGGGTTGTCGTCTCTAGCTACCTCTTTAGACATTGCGTAACGTTTTTAATAATGGCATAATTTAATGCAAATTGTTGTTGTTATTTTGTCTTAGTACGGCGATTACGGTATTATAATAAAAGCATTGAGCATAATATCTATTTGGCTTTTTAGAGGCATCAACGAAGGACTTCCAATATCATAAGATCCGCCTATTACTGCTGAATTGCGTGGATGTAACCTGTGAGCTATTTTTATCCTTTGATGTCGTATTATTAATAATGTGTACATCCATACGCGTGTTATCAGATATATTTTTAATAAATTTTCATTTAAAGTGAAATAATATGTACTGAATAAACATTCCCCCATTTATCTTTCTATGTAGGTACTTTGAAAATAGCAACATTGTGGAGTTTTGATTAAAGGATTTCAATGTTAAAACTAATTGTCCCTTTAAAACAAGGAAATAAACCAGTTAAAGTAAAAATCTAAGTATGTATTGTTTCTATAATGAAAGCAGCATTACAAATATTGGATGTGCGTTACAAATATCGAATGTCTGTATGTTCCACAAAAAATTAAAACTACTATGCAATTCAAATAAGAATAGGACTGACCTGGCGCCATAATGTAAGGTCAGAACTGTTAATTCACACCAGTTAGGTAGGATGAGCAAAACAGATTCTTTATATTTTTGAATTAATATTTATTTACAAAAGAATCATGAACGAAAATCATGAATATTAATCTGAATCTAGCATTTTAATTTCGCTCTGCATTACTCAGATCAATGTCAGATCATTATCATCACTGCAGCTTTTCCTTATAAAAATTTAACATAGATTTATGGAGGTTGTGTTTAAAATATTCCACCTACTAGTATCAATATTTTTAATTAATTTGTAAAAATAATTGAGTTCTGTAGATTTGATAATACTAAGACTCAGTTAAATAAATTATTAATATGCAAAGTAATTTTCTTTGCAAGCCGTACTTTTCAAATGGCAGTTGACCGATCACAGTCATTCGAGGTCGTTCAGGTTCCTATGCTTATTTGAATAAGTATAGTCGTATCTGATTTGATATATGTACGAGTACAATGTTTTCAAAATTCAAACTTACAAATTATTGTATTATTTATTATAATTAAAGCTTTGTAATAAACATTTGGTTTTTAATTTTTCCTCCTTATCTTATGGGTTGTGTGTGATCAACTAGTGAATTTTGGACTAGAAATTGTATTTTTCCTTTCTATGGCCAGTTCTAGTAATACCAAATATGATCAGGATATTCTTCAATGGACTTCATTACCCTTTGGACGCCATCATAGAGCAACACAGACCACCGGCGGGCAGAAAGGGAGTAGCCATAGCGTTGTTCCGGTTACTTGGTTTTCGTTTTTCGGTCTGTCATTATTGTGGGGAAATGCGCACACAAAAACAATCGTCTGTCACTACGGAACTCAAACCAAGGAGATTGTAAAATATAGGGAGTACGCACTTCATACTACAGAAACGTTCCTAAACCAGTGACCTTGAAATGAATGAAAGGCACCTAGTTAGGCGTTACATTTCTTTCTAAAAGAGTGTCCATGATACAATATTTTAAGGATATTATTAGTGTATATAGCATCACGAAAAACGAAATGGGTAGTTTTTTCAATGTGAAAAGTGCTGCATAGTGTTATAATTAAACTCCGTATAATATTTTGATTACATTATTGCTTCGCTACAGTATCAACCTTACGGTAACTAGTGGCGGCGTAGCGTGGGTTGACACCCAGGGCGGTTTTCTATCAAGCACCCCCCAAAATAAAAATGCTATGCCAATATACGTGCTAACGGGACTTTATTTTTCTAAAATGTTCTAATATATTATCAAAGCTTACTTTCTTGTCATTTTCGATGGATAAAATGGAAACATTTGTTAGTCGCGCTTGGCTCATTGTGGACTTTAAGTAAGATTTTATTAACTTGAGTTTTGAAAAGTTTCCTTCACATGAAACTTAATAGTAAAAAAATCTTAGAGCGCTAGATTCGGAACTGATTCAGAATACCCCAATTTTACGAGAAAAACTCCAATGAATTACATTGAACCGCTTCTTGAGAAGAAATGCTGGCAGCTTTGAAGTAGTAAAATCGCCAAAATCACATATCCTGCAGAAAAATCGTCGTAGATTTTTGTCAGATTTTGAACTATTACACGAAGATCTTCATCTGGTGACGTTAGCAGAGTGTGAGGCTGAACAACACTAAATGTTACGAGAATATCATCCATTGCTCTGTAGCGATGGTCTATTTCCTCGTAAAATATGTCAAGATATTCTAACATAGCTCTCTGCAGCTCCTCTGGCAATGTTAGTCCAGCATAAAAATAAAAAAAGTAAAGTTGCAGCCTATTTAAGTCCCACTGCTGGGCACAGGCCTCCTCTCATTTCTGAGAGGGTTTTAGGGCAAGGAAATGTCCGCCGCGCTGCCCCAATGCGTGTTGGCGAACTTCACGTGTCTTCGAAATATTTTTTTTCTTATTTCTCAGACATGCAGGTTTCCTCACGATGATTTCATTCACCGCCGAGCACGTGGTAAATCAGCAATTAATAATTGCAATTAACAATTTCATTTGTGCCGGCGGGGATCGAACCCGGGTTGCTCGAGTACTGTAAAGCTTACAGCGAGCGCTAACCATCTGAGCTA